TATATATATATATTGGAACGTTAAGCTAGTAAATATTCGTTTTCTAAACTAGCTGTACCCCACGTTATCTGTACCCCAAGTAACTCATAATCATCTCTTTGAAAGGAAACGTAGTGAATTCTATGTAAAATGTATTCCTATCCTTCGCTTCCTGACCATACCCAGCCGTTTTAAGTGTCGTTCTTCCCCGTCTGAACCCGCCCCTTGTTCACCCTGACACGTTTCATAAGATCAGTTTTGCTACCATCATCACTGTTACAGGCAGCGGCAAACATGTTTTGTTGCATGCTACAAACTAACTTCTACACACAATTTCGAATATCAATTACTCAAAATGTGGTTAGGCTATGAACAGGAATCAACATGCATTTAAATATTTTATGGGCCTTCAGAAATATTTATATATTTTCAGTAAATTTCTTTATGATTTTTGAGATATCTAAATAAAGAGAAAGAATGCCCACTTAAAAATTATATAAGGGAAGTTGGGTACTGAGGATAATTTTTATAAAATCTAGGGCAGAATTTTTTTCTTGTTTTGAAGGTTTCGTGTATACTATCTTATTAAGATCAGAATAAAATTGTTGAAACCAAATAAGCCTACCTTTAAATAATAATCCTACAAAAATTGGTTAAATCGATCCTGATTAATTAATTGATTAAGTCTGATCAAATAGTTGACAAAAAGTAGACAATCGTGAACACAAAATTGTCGTGTTTTTATATCTATTTAAGCAAATGAAAATAGAAATGTAGAAACCACAGACACTCCAATTTCATTTATATAGATTTAAAAACTCAAAGTCAATATTTAAAGGACTGTTGTTTGTCGCTGGGCTCTGAAAATTTGTCCATTGGCTCACCTATACTACGAACTGTGTTGCTAGCGATATTTTATTATCTGCGATATGTACGTATGTATATATAGAGTAATATAATAGTATTGTCGTAAACCTTCTATACTTTATTTCACATAAGCGTTCACGAGGAGGAACCAGAGGGATTAATGCAGAGTATCAGGAAAGTTAATTTTTCTAGATCGTGTGAATCACGCTTTACAGGAGAAACGTGGATGTTTCTTCGAGGGAAAAGATCTTTTAACTACCATACTTTATATTTATGAAGACACTCAGAAATCAGTCAGCGAATAGTGAATATTGATTTCTTTTATAGATAATGGATAAAAATAATCAAAAATGAGTTTTACATTTATCCCACCTAGAACTTGAAATCTTATTGCAATAACATTAAAAATGTTGTAGTTATTCATTTCTTCAGGTATGTATACACAAACTAAGAAAAAGTTTATTATATCTAATTACAAAAATCACGGACGATATTTCAATATTAAGGCTCTCTTCCTGGTATCGCACTACAAGAAAATTTCCTTAAAAAGAATTCACAAACGAAACTCGCCCGGACACAGAAGACGTATTTATAATATCGGCCCAGATTAACCACAACACCGTCTCTGTATACGAGTATTATACAAACTCGAGAAATAACGTTCGCTGGCAAAAGACTGACACTCTCGAAATGCTGCGGTTCCCCCCCTCTCTCTGTCAAAATAAATAGTCTGTGAAAACGATTTTATATGCCCTCCTCGATAAAGGGGCACTGACATGGAAGTGAGTGATATTTCTATAGAAATGATTAAACTAACATAATCCGCAATGATATTTTTTTAGACTCTCTTGCCGTAATTACAAATACCCTCCGAGCTGAATGGCCGTAGTCTATCGGGCATTCTGAGCCCAAACGTTTCATTTGCGACTGCGACAGCCATCTTCAGTGGCGACTGGGTACACGCCAGTCCGTGTCCTTTTAGACAGCTAACTGGTGACTAGTAAACACTTCTCCGCTTTTGCGGCGCTGGGGCACTGGTGATTACGGCGCTGGTGTCGGCTGTTCACGTAGAAATGGTTTAGGCTTGACCTGACGGAGCGCGGGTAACCATATCGAGAGGACTTTTATCCCTTCCTCTTTTTTATTTAAATTAAAAAGATGTTTCAGAAAGTCACTGGCTTCTGGTGTAGGCCATAAGGGATAAAACATGGATATCTTCAAATCTGATGTCATGTTCACGACCAGAAGAAGCGTGTTTGGTCGTATGTCTCCTCGCCGCCTCCATCATTCTTTGTAACAACACTAATAGATCCTAATCCTGATGTGTGAGCGAAATCACAGCTCAAAATAACCTTGAACACAAATTATTGTGATCTAAAGTTGGAAATAGTATTGTTGAGATTCAAATACTATTCCTCTTTACAGGGAGGAGAAGTAAAAACGAAAGGATGATTTTCAGTATGAGAATGCTAGCTAAAAGAAAAATGGAGCTATTTGTGAGAAGATTTTGAAACTGGCCCAAGGGCTTCATGAAAGAACCCCTAAAATTTAAATAATTATTTTCAAAATCGCAGGGCTTTGAGTCACACCAGATCGTCTCGGGAATATTTATTTTGAAAAAAACAAACAAACTAGAAATAGTTCAGTCATCAGGGTTGTTCACGATTAGACGGATGGACATTTTGATCAATTATTTTTTCCTCGAAGAGAACCACAAAACGTGTATTTCCGCAAAAATCTCTAAAAGGATTTTTCGATGCATTAAATACCTTTGTCTAAACTGTAATATTACATACTATTTACTGATCTCCAATTAATTTTGTTGACATTTATTTTTATAAACTAAGTAAAGCTTTTTTTCAAACGCAACAGTTTGTTCTTTTTAAATAAACGCATTTATAAACATAATCCACTGTTAGAATTCCATGATTGACTCGGAGCAAGCGCAAGGCATTGTTGAGAGCGCACCAGCCAGCAGCTTCCGACAGGAACAACTGAAACCGAATAAAACTATTCAATAAATAAACGAAATGTGAATGAAGCATTCCTCTTGGCAAATTGTGTGCCCTTACACATCTCACCTGACAAGTATTGTAAGTGTAATTTTGTTGTGATTTTTTCTGAAATTTATATTACCTACTTGAATCGTGTTACAGAATAAATATTATCTAATTTTAATATTCTTTTAGTTATCCTCTGTTGTCTGTGGAAAAAATGAAAAAATAATTTGGAGCGTTTTTTGTGAAAAAAATTACGCGAAAACTATTCGTTTTTTAATTGTACGTGGCGTGTTTCAAAGATCTTAGCGTTAAAACTGATTTAATTGAAGACAAAAATCCGTATCTTCAATATTTTACTTCTGCAATGTTAACGTTTCGTAATTGTGCTCGCCGAAAATAAGATTGGAACCACTTTTATACAATTATAACATGTAAACGAGGCGTTATACGAAGCAAAAAGTGAAATAAACTAGTGAAATACAGCTCTTAGTAAGGGTTACGTAATAATTTGATACAGCAATTTCTATCCAATCTAACACATCTCAGTCATCATTTGTGGCACTCCTTACAAATCGTAGACATTAGTTTCGAAAACCAATTCTTTGAAAGCTAATATATCAACACAAATTCGACTATTCAATCTGCGTTTCATAAACCAGCTATAATATCTCCCAACAATGAGAAGGAATTCTCTGAAATTTGTGACTAGTACCGTGTCGCAGCGCGACGTGCGGCTTTGTTGCAGTCCAATCTGCTCCTGCAATCCCTGAAAGAGCCTACCAAAAGAAATGAGGGAAATTCGAATTTGCAATTTCGAAAATAAAAATGTATATGAACTTCTTTAAATAACTTATTGTTTAGAACAGACTTCATTAAACAAAGTAACACTACCATCAAATTTGTACTTTTTCAGTGTTAATTTTAACTTAAATACCTTCACTTTGTAAGAAAAGAAACTTTGTAACCGGAAAACGGCGACATTTTTATCAAAAGCTCTTGTTGCCGACTCCTAGTAACGAAAAAATGGATAAATATTGTTTTTTTGCGTAGTAAATTACGTATTTGCAAATACTCGTTTGCGGAGCAGAAGGTTAACGAATGAGGAAGCACAGGCCGCCGTTATTGCACACAACTATCCCCGTATCAGCTCTCGAGACATTGCCAGAGATTCCGGGATTAGTCGTTCGAGTGCCCTCGGCATCTTGAAGAGTAACAAGTTTCACCACTACCACATTTCGTTGCACTAGAAGCTATATGATAGTGATTACCAGAAACGTTGCGCTAAGTTTTGTCGTTTTGCTTTGGAATACGTGCGAGATGATCAGGACTTTTTTAAGAAGATTATTATTACCGATGAGTCAACATTTATGAGTCACGGTCAAGTGAATCTACGCAACATGCACTACTGGGCAGTGGACAATCCTCGCTGGCTTCGTGAAGTTGAGAACCAAAAGCAGTGCAGTATTAATGTGTCATGCGGTATTCTTAACGACATCATCATAGGTCCCTATTTCTTGGATGGACATTTGGCAGGAAACAAATACACAAGATTTCTTCGTGAAACATTACCTCTACTTCTGGAGGAAATTCCCCTGGATATGAGAAATTGTATGTGGATGCAACCTGACGGATGTCCAGCCCACAACGCGCTTGTGGTTTGGCAAGTGCTGAATGAGAAACCCCCGGCCGATGGATTGTGCGCGGTGCTGTAATAAACTGGCCGGCAAGGTCACCTGATCTGACACCCCTGGGCTATTTTCTATGGGGAACGATAAAGAAGGAAGTTTACTCACAAGTACGAACAACATCTGAAGATATGAGGCACCGCATCCGCATCTTGTCATGACATTTCACGTGGAATTCTGAATTCTGTTCGAAGGTCTCTTTTCTAGCGACTTCAAATGTATATATCCGTTGATGGTGCACATATTGAGTACATGTTATAAGTCACGCTATTTCTAGAATTATTAACTTACCATTTGTTTCTGTATTTTAAAGTATTTTCTTACTTTTATTTACACGATATTTTTGTACCTGATGAGGTTTTCAGTCTTTCAAAGAGTAAACGTTTGGTTTCTGACAGCACACGCATTTTTTAATTGAAAACATGTTCAATCTCCAATCTTCCCTTGCTTTCTCTACGGTTAATAATTCAAATATTTTCTCAAATATTGTAGTATTTAACTAATTATAAATTAGAACATAGTGGCGTACAGATTTGCTCAGAACGTGGCTATGGGTGAATACATTGTCTCCAGGGCTGAGGAGGTCTTAAAGCGGGTTTTCGTGAGCTCCTTTGCATATTGCAGGCGACATAACGACTGGGAGACATTCACCACGTCGGCGCCAAAACACAACCTGTACGTAGAAATGCACGGAAAGCATTTATACGAATAAAATAATCTTCTCTTCTCGGAAACCCATGCCCGAGTGAGTGACACGTGTGGAAGAGCTCGAGTGGCTGAGCGCACAGCGCTAAACAATTAGCTTGGGGAGCACCGGTGGCCCAGCGACGCACGTGGTGTGGGGAAAGGGGATGGAAATAGGAGTGTGCGGGATGTGGGTGGTGAAGGGGGAGATGGGGAGGAGAGGAGGACGATATTGAGCCCGCCGGCGCCGCTCTCTCGCCCGTATGAGCGGCACCGTGTGTGCGGAACGAGCTGTGTGGGGGTGGGTAGTGTGGAGCATGGGGAGGGGCGGGGACGCAGCGATGCACTGCGGTGTAGTGTGAGAGCTTCTCGGAATCGACCGTACATGGACGCTCGAACACAGACTTCTGCTCTGAATGGAATTTGTAGAAAACGACAGTTCAGGATCTGCCTTTTCAACAAGGGTGGCACGAGGTGTGTTGGGTAGATTGATTGGAATGATTGATTGATTTGTTCATGTTTCTGGGCGCTTCATTAGCGATGGCATTTCTTCCTCGGAGGAACGTGAGATCTGGCGCCGACCTAACTGTCAGATTGCGGAGGTTTCTTCGAAGTATCGCCCTCGCAATGGGGTCCGGCCATAGCCGAGACAAGTTCTAGTAGTTTGTGAGTATCAGCTTCGTCTGTTCGTCTTTCTGTGAACAACTATAGCATCTAAATAACACATTGAATTTTCAACAAAATAGATATACCCCGATGAATCCATGCTGATGTCACAATTACTTGAATTTGAAACTGATATTTTAATTTCGAGGGTACTTAACATGAAGCCCCAACGACATATTTAAAATTGTTTGAATTATGGCTTAATCGTTTTCTTTATTTTTTGCTGGAATAAACGCTCATAAAAATGTCGTAGATCCAAGTTTCACAAATGAGAGCGAGGTTGACAGTTTTTAAACCTTAAGTAGCACTGTTTACTTTACTGATACGGTCAGATATCATTGAATCGCAAAGATTCAATATTGTAGGTTACGAATGCATAAAAATATCAATTTTATTTAGCTTATTATTTAGTTATGTTTGTTACAAGACAGTAACACTTTTACAACTAATAGTCAAGTGAGCTGCTGCAGAGCTTTAGTTATCCCTCTATCACCTCGCTTGGACAAGTATCACTTCAAAGCTTTGATAAATTAACTACTTCTATTTCACTGATTTGCTGACAAGAACGAACCAAATGAGGAACTAGTGATCTAAAATGTATAAAAGAAATAGATAATGTTGCATTGAGAAGAGCAATTTTGCAGATACCTTTTTCAACTGAAGCAACTCATTGCAACCACATCTGCCGCTCTTGGACGGCTAAAAGCAATGAACGGCGAGAAATACATAAGGCCCGCCGTTTCTTTGAATGTCTTCAGAGGCAGAGTATAGCAACGCGCTTTCAATTCACATGAAGTCCACCAAGATTGAAGCTCGTCCTGAAAAGGACATTTGCGCCCGGGGCAAAGGGAAAGCAAGGAAGGCTCTCTACTGCCTCTCGTCCTCG